TATTTCAGATTATGTAGAGAAGTAAAATGATGTAAATGAGAAACACTTGGAGACACAATAATGATTTTTTCCTCAGAAGAAGTGCCTCAGGCAGAGAATAAGAGCCCCTGCAACAGCAGGAAATTGATTAAATGAGATATACCCAGATGATCCTGGCAAGTGACCTGCATCCCATGCTGCAGAAGAAAGCAAGCCGCTGCCCCCAAAGTCACTGCCAATCTGACATGTGGGAAAATTCCTTCCTGACCCCACATATAACAAGCAGTTAGACCCTGGGCATGTGAGCTAGAACCAGCTAGCCAAGCACCTGACTGAGATAATGCTCAGTGTCACCTTAGAGCACCAGCTCACCCTGCCCATTGTCTCATCTCCAGCTGTGGCTATCTCTGATGTTTCAAAGGAAGGAGACTTCCATCTGTCTCTAATGGGGAGGGAGAATTTTAAAACTGGTGCAGGGCTTTAAAAGTGTAAAAATAAGAATATACAGAATTTGGGAACATGCCATGTTTCCTTTATCTTCTAATCATTCAGAAACAGAGTTTATAATTTCTTTATTTGGCACCACCACCATGTTCAGTTCTGCACTGAACAAAGAGATATAAATAACAAACTAGTTAAATGAGTCCCATGTGATCAGAAGGGTCTGTTCAGCTCCCCTGAGCTATGCACCTATCTTTATGCGATACCTCTCAGTTCAGCTAAACTGAGAGGTATTGTATAAAGATGGGCACACAGATCCTAAAAGAGACAACAGTGAAGGGAAAGGAACTCTATCCTGCCTTTCTCCAACACTTTCTCACTCCACCAGAGCCCTGCCGTCTTCCAATATGGCAGATAGCCCCATTTCCACTTATGCTGGGAACTCAGGCAGCTGCAAACCTGCACATGAAATTTGATCATAGGAAAAATGGGGTTAATTTCAAAGCCAAAACTATTGGTTTTTTTGGGGGGGGGGGCAGGAGGGGGGGGAATGGAATTTACAAACCTATTTCAAACCAGACTTGTAAGGTTTTGGATTATTCTGTTAAGAACATAGCTCCTTCAGCATATGGGAGTCAACAGACCTCAGTGATTGGTGTACGTGTTTCACAATATATTACTTTCAGTATATTTTAATATGGTTCATAAAGAAAATTTAGGGTGAAGTGGCCCATTATTTCAATTTCCTGACCAGATTATCATGTAGTATTTACTTAGTGCGTTGGGCAAGAGGTAGATTTTTATAAAATATCTGCTTTAAAAACAGCCATTCAACAGACTCATATTGAAACCAAATATATTTCTCAAGGATTTTACACACTCACAGCCAGAAAATCTAATTGCAGGGATCTTTGTGCATCATGAGTTGTATAGTGTGTAACATGAAGTGAAATAACACCCGGTTTTAAAGCAATATCATTAATGGGTGATAGAGAGGTTGGGGAGGAAGGTGGACAATATGTACTCAAGGAGCTATATTCAGAAAAAGATGGATAGTAAAGGGTCAGTAGTGTTTATGGATGCTGAATTGTCACGATACACATCTTTTTTGTGAAGTTCCCAAGGGAACACCAGTCATTCAAGAACATCAGAGAAGTCTTTAATAAACTAGGTGAGAAATTGTGGTCCCACTAGAGTCAACAGCAAAACTACCATTGACTTCAGTGGGGCTATGATTTCACTCTAGATCTTTAAATCCTGACACCAACACTGTGATACCCGAAACAGAGACAGGTTAACTGATAGATAAAGGATGTGACCAAGTCTCTGTGACCTGCAATTCTTTAAGGTAACAGCAGAACAATGAGTGTTATGATAATGCTTCAGGTCTCAGGCATCAGGGTATTAGTTATTACAATTAGAGGTTAAGATGGCCCCTCCATAGAAAGAGTACAGAATACATTTTAAAGACTGTTGAATACCCTAATTATTGAAAAGAAAAAGAAAAAAAGGGGGGAAGAAAAGAAAAAAATCAAGAGATGACTCACCCATAATAATAAATCAAAACATATGCTGCAATAGCTTTGAAAATTGACCATACTAACCATGTAAAACAACATGATGCTGAAGGAGTGTCTGTGACCAGAGGCAATTTGACAGGAAGACCAGATTTTTTAATGACAGAGAAAAAAAGAGTAATCTAACAATGAAGAAAGTGGATTTACATAAAGATACAAATAGGAAAGTAAGCCCAATCGTCACCTATCTAGCAAGTTAAAAAAAGATCTTAATATCATGCATATCCTATGCTTTTATTCCTTTTTAAAATTTTGACAGTGTCCTCAATTTTTTTGTTTATTTTCAAATATTCAATCATGTTTCCATGTGATTACATGACAAACAGTCTTGGAATATTGCTGATGTGTTTCATTGATCTTTTTGTGTTTTATTTTCTGTGGCAGAACACAACCAAAGTCTGTTCATTTAATAAAATGACTCCTTCTTCAGAAATATGTAGACTATAGCTTTCAGCTTAATTATTTTTTAATATAATGAAAACAAGTTTCTTATGAACAACTGAGGTGTTCTAGGAGTAACAATGGTGGCTCTTATTTTGCCACAATGGAAAGGAATTTTGGCATGCTAATTACAGACTGATATGTAATTAAAATCAACAGAAACTGAGGGGCGGGGGGGAGGGTGCTGGATGAATTAAGGAATCGAGTGAGTAAGATCACATTTGTAAATATATTTTTGCCTTGAAAGAGCAGTGAGTGGAGGAGGAGAAAGTTTTAACCGTGCTTACAAAACATTTGTTCAGATAATTGGCTTTGTGACAATGCAAATGCAGTTATCACCAACTGGAAATATTCTGTAGTTTTATCAACAATAAGAGCACATATTTAACCATTTGAAAACAAGCATTATCACCTTTATAACAATCAAAGAAGGAAGTCAGATAGCCTTGATTTGATTAGAATGAATACATAATTAGGCTTTTATCACTTGAAGATAAAACCCATATGAAAGCTGGGTCAGAGTAGCAGGTAGTCACATTGGTAAAAGGAATCTGCACTTTTTATTCCTAATGTAAAACCAGGGCTTCTTCTAGCCAAAGGTCAAACAAGATGGATGAAGAATACGACTCACACCAGCATAGGTTCAAATAAAAAAAGAAAAAGGGTGTAGATTCCCACAGCTCAGAAGCACTGCATAGGTGAGCTATGTAACACACCCAGCTGGTCGTCATATCTTCCAGCAAACTCCCTGTGTAGCCCCACTCTCTAGAAAAAAATAGATGCTTTTTGCCAGTTAGCTTTGGTAACTTGAGTTTCCTCAGAATGCTGATAATCCAAGCTCTGGCATGCTCAAGACAGTTTAACTCTCTACTTGCCAGGCACAGCCCAGGTTCATCTATCCTATCAAAGTCTTTTGCTGAAGATATCAATACAACCAATAAAATTTAAAACCAAAGTCTTAATTTTAGTTATAAATGAAGGAATCAGTGCATTCATAGTATAGTTAAACTGAAGATATTGTTTAAAAGGTTTCATGAGCAAACAAATCCACATCACTATAAAATAAGGGAAATGCTCATAATTACATTTTACAGGGAACAGCAATGTGGTGAGCCCTGATACAGTTCAAGACATTTACTGAGTAAAGTCTCACCTATCGTAAGTGTGAGACAATTGCATCATCCTTTTGTCTGATGCATACAAAATTGCAATACTACCAATTTACAATCCTAAAGAGCAAGTTCTTAAGCACAGAATTGGGAAACACAACTCTCTCCTCCTATAGCTAAATTAGGAAATTCCATTTTGAGCAGAGATGTTCAGCAGAGGCGATGACTTCCCGAGTTTCATGCAACAACAGGGAGGAGAAAAACATATTTGAACAAACAGGAAATTGTGATTGTAAAGCCACAAAAATTAACAGAGGGATTCATGGCCATGTGTACTACCTGAAACGACCTTCAACTAATATTTTGAAATGGACTACGTTTCATGCTGATGATGTCCTTTCAAATATATTTGAAAACACATCAAAACGCATGAAACAATCATAATATTTTCTGTAGCCTGCACAAGAATAACTCTTCCACTTGTGCATATGCATTATAATACAATCATTAATTATCTGAATGCATACTCCTTTTTCCTTCAGGGCCACAGCCTGATTCAGTGTGTAGTTAGAAAATGAATGGAATAAGCTTGTGTAGTGAATCTGAAATGGTATTTCCACATTCACTAAATAATTTGGATTGTGTGCAGTGAATAAGGAAGACTGAGAAACAAATGAGACAACAATACACAGTAAACAACAGTACACAGGGCCCTTGCTTCATTCAGTGTACGGGATGCATGGTGGGAAGCATATTACCATGGGGCCACAAGTTGAGTAACAAGAATAAATATAAAAAAAACCCACAATCATTCACAGAGTAGTATCCAACTTGCACACTAAATGAAGCAGCGGTCCTACAGCAATCTGAACTTTGGGATTTCCACACTTCTGAGAGCTTCATTCTACAACATTAACATTCTTTAGTTATTATAATGAGGAGTCAAGATACAGTGCCACCAGCACTATCATGAGTATGTACATTAATCAGAAAGTAGTAAGGACAACACTGGAGGCCCATTCATAATTGTTCTTAAATCTTATTAAAGTTAATAAAAACTAAACAGGGAGATTAAATTTCCTCATGCAAACCCCTTTTCTTTAGAGTTGCATAATGTGAGGGCTATGAAATTAACTTTTCTGAAGGACCAGTGGAGATAAATCAGCGGAATAGGAAGAACTAACCTAATATGGATTCCCCATATAACATCAACAAAACAGGCAATCATAGCAATGCTAAGTTAGGCTCCATCATCAGCCCCTTTCTATAAGCAGAAATTCCATGGAATTCTTGCATGCCTATCAGATTCAGATGGATCAGCATTTAGAGGATAAAAGCACAATCCATTTTTAAATCACCATGGCAAATGATTACCAGATTGCCTTCAAATAGTATAATGAAAGTTACCAGTGACCCCATGTAACTGCTTATTATTTACAAGATTAAAACCTACCATTCCGCAACTGGTTTGGCAATGCTTTCAAAAACTGCATCTTGTTTTGCCTCCTGATCAAAAATTTTCTGAAATCTGAAAATAATAAACAAATAATCATGCAGTATCTTAAAACACTACTTGATTTATAATTTTTGTTTTTCTGTTTGTAACTAGTCCATGTTTACGTCATTGGGCTTATATAACCTAGTACAATGTTTTCCCTGTAGCCTTAATAACCAGTGTCCTGTTGTGCTATCGTATACAAATAGACTGTAAACAGTAGTGCTTTGACAAGATCTGTACAATAAAACCCTCTGATAAAATGAGGCAATTTAAGGGGGAAAACCTGTATTTTACAGCTATCAAGGGGATCAGTGTTTGCAACTGGCATCACACTGAAAACTGGATAAATTAATTATCCTATAACCAAGCAGCACATATAAACAGTACAGTCAGGCTCTCAATTTTTAGACTACAATGAAATGTAGCAACTAGGAAACATTGTAATCAATAGATGAACATAAAAAAAAAAATCTAAGCTTCTATCACTTACTATAAGCCAACACCTGCAGTTGTTCTGTTTGGCATTATAAGTTTACATAGTTCTTTATTCACAGAACATATAAAAAACGTGGTCTGGGCCTCCAAGGGTTTACAGTGTACAGTTACTCAGACAAATGCAATACATGGGGAAATATTCAGTGCATGAGGTATGGAGACATAGGTCCCTATCTTGTAAACCTTTATTCAGATGAGTAGTTGTACTGAATTTGTTTAATCTTAATGACACTGCGCACAGAAGTATAGAATTGCAGGATCAGGCCCATAGTTGGTGAGATGACCAGTGTAGGAAGTCTTCACCAAAAAATAGTGAGTTTTAGGGAGGAAAGAGAAAGTATTTGGCATGTAGCATTCCTTTTGTATGTATGGTTTTATGATAACAGATTAAAAACAAAGAGCATTTCCTTAAGGATCACAATGCTCAGTATTTCTCAGAATTCATTTTCACAGACTCCCATAAGAACAATAAAGACACCGAAAATGTCAGCATCCATTAAGCTGACATGGGCATCTGCAACCTAAACTGGTGTTGCATAGAGCCTGTCCAGTGACATCAGCATGAGTTACAGATGTTTGTTTGGAGTCCTACGCTACAGCAGATTTTAGATTTTCTTCAGCATCAAATTTCAATTGATATGAAATTCCATACAAAATGTTGCATCCAAATTTTCCATACAAAGGATGCTATCAAGTAATTGTTTTTATTTCTCATCATTTGTAATATCTTCTTACAAATGTATAAATGTTTTTTCTAAGATGATAGTTTCCCTTTTCATTTGACAAACTATAATTTTCTTCACTGTGTTCTGATTAGGCCTGAAATCAAAAAATTCCAGTTAGAAAGTGCTTTTTGTCAACAAATCTTTGGCTAAAGTCACTATCCACCCTATGCTGGCTCATTAGCTTCTGCAGGAGCATAAGGTCCCTCCCTCACTCTGGCCTTGTCTACACTAAAACTTTATAGCCAGCTGCTTGGGTGCAGGCCTGTAAACAGGAGTCAGGCATTTTTACCACAATGTCATGTAATAGTTTGATGAAGCATACAAGTTCAGCTATTAAACTTTTCTAGTTTTATCATGTCTTGCCCTGAAATCATGATAGAGAATAATGTACTGTAGCACTGAAAGATTCCTCTTGTTAAAAAGTCTTTTTAAAAATCTTACTAAATATACCAAAACTGTATTGTGTGGATCAGAGATTAAGTAGAAACTTTTACTGACTCTCCAGGGAACTGGCACACTGAATCTAGTGGCTGATCCTTACACAATTATCTTCTCTGTAGGCAATGGTGATACTGAGTATAGAAAATGGACTCTCTTTAACAGGAGGAAAAATAATAAGCTGGGCTATAACACAGATCTGGTAATGTTGAAAGTGATCTTAGTATAAATTGCATGAGGAAAAAATCAGAACAAAATAAACTTACTTAAACTTGTAGCTTTCTCGTTTATTATTGACAAATCCATCTGCCAAGTCACGTGGTACAATAATCTCTAAACTGGAGGCTGATTTCTCATCTTCACCAACTGAATAAATCTGCAAAACAAAATTACTTCAGCAATAGAACAGTGGTTTGTACCATAGCTCTATCATCTTGATGTGTTTACCTGCATGATCTCATTAAGATCATATACAGGAATGTAGACTAATCACAATTCCATGGTGACAAAAGGGAGAAAGCCCAGTTTGCCCTCCTTCAAAAATATAGCCCTTGCCATTTGAGCTCCAGAGGATTCTGCATTACACAGTAGACAACTGTCTCTTTCACCCACCCACCCCAAAATAAGATTTCAAAATATCTAAATGCAGTTAGACACCAAATCCCTTGACAGAATTTGCTTAATAAAACCACTTTCAAATATCTGACCAAAGATTTATTTAAAAAAAAAAAAGGAGTACTTGTGGCACCTTAGAGACTAACCAATTTATTTGAGCATGAGCAATCAAATAAATTGGTTAGTCTCTAAGGTGCCACAAGTACTCCTTTTCTTTTTGCGAATACAGACTAACACGGCTGTTCCTCTGAAACCTTTAAAAAAAAAAGAAAACCTGAAGAAGTGTTTATTGTGTGAGACTAATAAGGCACTCAGGTAGTTTTTGGACCACAATTTAAGGAGCTTGGGGTTTATTGGGGGGGGGGGCGTTGTTGTTTTTTACATACCATTTATGAAAATGTTTTCCTTAAACTTTTTATTTTTCATTTCAATGAAGGTGAAGTATTTCAACTCAAGCATTCACTTCCAATATCCACAATGATGATTTCACTAAACAAGCTTCCTGTAAGCATGTAGAAAATCAGCTCCTTGCCCCCAAAGGTCACCAGCTTTACTAGAGCATAATTTCGTGTTTTAAGGGTCCCTTTAACACTCAATGTCTAGGGCTTTCTACTCTGCACTGGGCCACTTAAAATCATCCCGGCGCTGCAACAAGTCCTGCCCTTCGCTACACGGGCAACCAGCCTCATAAACGAGGAATCATGACAGGGACCCTCAAACAGCTCCTATCAACCCCCGCCCCCAGCGGGGCGCCCCGGGCTGCCCCCTGCCCCAGGCACCCCGCTCCACCCCCTGCCCCTCCCACCCCGGGCTGCACCACGCCACCATGTGCTTCCCAGGTTGGCTGCAGCCCGGCTACTTTCCCCGCGGGCACGTACCCCCGCCTGCTGCCGCCTGGCCAGGGGCTTCACCCGGGCATAGATCTGGATCGTTTGCTTCACCATCTCTCCGCTCATCAAGGGGGGAGGGGGAGACTAGGCCCTGCCATAGCAACGGTAACCAAGGAACACTACCCAGCATGCTCTACGCCGGGGGGGGGCGAGAGGGGGCGGTGCCGGCGCAGCGAGCTACGCATGCGCATGCCGGAGAGGCTGCCTGCCGCCTGCGTGTGATTTCGTCCGACTTCCCCCGCTCCAATCAGCGAGTGGCGTTAATTCTCTGGGGCGCCTCCCCGGCCCCCCCCCCCTGCGGAACGCGGTGGTGCCCCGCGCGCTCCCCGACCCGTACAGAGGCGGTGAGCTGCCCCGCCCCCGCTTTGGTCGTGCAGGGGGCGCCGAGTCCCGCCTCAGCGGCACCGCGGAGTTGAATGTAAATGTTCCCGCTGCTCCTGGCGTAAGAGTGGCCATGCCCTGTGTGCGAGAGCAGGAGTCCCACGGCGTTTGCCTTACAGCCCCAGCGCCTGCGAGCATGTAGCTACATGAGACTTCGCGTTAAAAAAAGGTTTCTAGCCCTCATGGCAGAGAGAAGCTGAACCACCAATCAGACAAACGAGACATACCGTGTATTTATTTAAAATAAGTCTCACGCTATTTAAATGAATTTCATTATTTTGGGAAACAGACTCAAGTGTTTTTAATCTTAGCGTGGGTAACCCTACAATTAATACTGTATCTTCTTTTGAGGGAAAAATTGTCAGGTACAGGAACACTGATGCAGGGACTGAAGACGTTCTTGTCAACTGCTGGAAATGGCCCACCTTGATTATCACTACAAAAGGTGCTCCCCCCCCCCCCCCCTGGTAATAGCTCACCTTGCCTGATCACTCTGGTTACAGTGTGTATGGTAACACCCATTGTTTCATGTTCTCTGTGTATATAAATCTCCCCACTGTATTTTCCACTGAATGCATCCATGAAGTGAGCTGTAGCTCACAAAAGCTTATGCTCAAATAAATTGGTTAGTCTCTAAGGTGCCACAAGTCCTCCTTTTCTTTTTGCGGATACAGACTAACACGGCTGCTACTCTGAAACATGGACTGAAGAGTGTGTGGAGGATCGGAAAGAGCAATGATAAATTACAGCAAATTGGGTTAGGGCAGGTCTAACGGTGTGGCACACAGGATTCCACTTTAGATCTGGTCATGTTTACTGTATTCACTAACAGGCTGTTAAGAGGAAGGAAGCAGTATTCTTCAATAATTATAGCTGCAGCTGATATGAAAGTACAAAATGCCACTAACACCTGTAAAGATGGAGCAACAACATAAAAGGGAGAGAGATTAGAAATGTGGTCAGGTAATAAGAATGGATGTAGAATCATACAAGTAATCTCAAATACACTCAAGAGAAAGAGAGAAAGCATTACTGCTTTCTTCGGGAAAACAGCAAATTAGATGAGTTTACAGCGAAATAAGGTAACAAATAGCATCAACACAAAGGCGGAGAATATCTTATTGCCCTTATATAAATCCATAGTACGCCCACATCTTGAATACTGCATACAGATGTGGTCCCCTCATCTCAAAAAAGATATACTGGCATTAGAAAAGGTTCAGAAAAGGGCAACTAAAATTACTAGGGGTTTGGAACGGGTCCCATATGAGGAGAGATTAAAGAGGCTAGGACTTTTCATCTTGGAAAAGAGGAGACTAAGGGGGGATATGATAGCAGTATATACAATCATGAGTGGTGTGGAGAAAGTGAATAAGGAAAAGTTACTTACTTATTCCCATAATATAAGAACTAGGGGCCACCAATTGAAATTAATGGGTATCAGGTTTAAAACCAATAAAAGGAAGTTCTTTTTCACTCAGCACACAGTCAACCTGTAGAACTCCTTGCCTGAGGAGGTTGTGAAGGCTAGGACTATAACGGTTTAAAAGAGAACTGGATAAATTCATGGAGATTAAGTCCATTAATGGCTATTAGCCAGGATGGGTAAGGAATGGTGTCCCTAGCCACTGTTTGTCAGAGGGTGGAGATGGATGGCAGGAGAGATCACGAGATCATTACTTGTTAGGTTCACTCCCTCTGGGGCACCTGGCATTGGCCGCTGTCAGTAGACAGGATACTGGGCTGGATGGACCTTTGGTCTGACCCAGTATTGCCATTCTTATGTTATGTTCTTATGTTAATTGTAGGCTGTATATGTGTAAGTATTACAGGGATAGAACTAATCTGAGAAAATTGAAGAGATAATGAGCTATGATAAGTGGGAAGTTTTGTGTCTACATGATGATATTGTAACTATCACTATGGCTATTTAAAAAGTCTCATCTCATAGAAGCAGGTAGGGTAGAACTCAAGATCCTTCTGATCCAAGACTACAGACTCCTATGATTGAAGCTAAAAGAGAATTCCCTTTAACTATTAGTAGTATCTGGCCAATTACATACAAATGAGCAGTTCCAATTTTACCCATTGGAGCACAGTAGCACATCTCTTGACCTAAGGTTTTTTTATAGTGTGACCATCACCATACTGTCTAAGTGCTTCCTAAGTATGTTTAACTCTCATGGTGAAGTTCTTAATGGACTTTTCTACATTGCTCCCTTCCATCGTAAAGGAGGAATTTGCATTAAATATACACACTGTAGCCATTTTGTTACATTATTTTATTCCTCAACACATAATTCTTACTTGTACTATACAGGATCTCTTTAAAGAAAAAAGAAACTTGCTCTTAATTTAGACTGTCCATGTTTGATGAAACTGACCATTGAAATTACTGTATACAGTGGTGTTGGAGCTCTGTTGGTCCCAGGATATTAGAGAGACAAGGTGGGTGAAGTAATATCTTTTATTGGACCAACTTTTGTTGGTGAGAGAGACCAGATTTTGAGTTTACACAGAGCTCTTCTCCAGGTCTGGGAAAACCTTGTCTCTCTAATTCAAATTACTGAACTGAAACATCAAAAATGTTTGCCTTGAAAATAGTAATCTCAAATAGGACTCACATTCCCTCTTTATCTTTATGACAAGTTTTATATTGATATCTGCTGTAGGTGGTTTGACTAGGCAGATGGTGTCTGTTGTGATATAATATGTAACAGATCTAGCAACCATCATTCATAGATTCCAAGGCCAGAAGGGACTATTGTGATCATCCATCTGACCTCCTGTATAACACAGGGTATAGAACTTCCCCAAAATAATTCCTAGAGTAGATCTTTTAGAAAAACATGTAGTCCTGGATTTTAAAATTGTCAGTAAAACTGGCACACCCCAGAAGACCCTTTGAAGACTGTGTGTGTGTCGGGGGGGAGGCATAGTGGTATGTATGATGTGTATCCACAGTATCTGGATAGAGAAACAGCCACACAGCTAAATTCAGACAGTGCTCACAAGGGAAAACTAACTCATGGAGGAAGACTATGAAGCCTTCACCATATTGCCTACTGGTTTAGGTCATTTAAATGACTTTGTTCTAAGTCAGGTATCTTTTCCCCTTACTTTCAAAGCATCATTCTCATTTCTCTTGTGCTTAGAAACAGGCATTCCTCATGACAACATTACCTGATTCAAGAAGCCTTAGTCGCAATTTTATGATTGGATATTTTTCAAAAGATATGCTGTAGCTCAACCAGAAATGACCCACTTGTAGGAATTGCTGGGCAAAATTCTATGGCTAGTATTATTCAGATCAGACTAGATAATCATAGTGGTTCCTCCTGACCTTAAAATCTATGATTCTCCACTTCCTTGTACTCTTCTATCATCACAAACACTTGTGGAAATTTTTACCAGCTCAGACTGATAGCATTTTACACTCACTTTGCATGATGTACCTCACAACCCAAAGGTTCAAGGCAATGGAGAATCAGGCCCTCTTTTGGTAAATAGAACCATGGCACAGATCCATATTATTTAAGTTTTTTGTAACTTTTGAGAAGCTAACATTCATGAACAAAGAACCTTGAAGGTTAGCAGTGTTTCTCAACCTTTTTAATACCAGGAACCGCTTGCTGTCTTCCTAAGCTGTGTCAGGGAGATCTCAGGGACTGGCGCTGGTCCATGAACTAGTCATTGAAAAACACTGAGTTAGAGGACACCCACCTTTTGCGGTTTAGCATTTCCCAAGAGCTCCATGGCCTGGAAACACTTTGGCAGAGAAGTACACATGTTTGTAGGAGCAGTAAACTTCCTCAAGCACTAGCCCTGGACCAGTAAGCAGAAATCTATTTCTTCTCTCAATGTTCCTTTGAAAGGAGTTGTGCATAGGGTCAGATGGGACACCTGTAATAGTAAACAGTATGTTGAAGAAGCAGCCCACTATCAAAACAATTTTAAACACCCCCTTAGGAAAAAACAAAACTCTTATTTCTAAGAATAAAATTTGTACATAGCATCATGTTTATGTGTAGCACATTATTGAGACTAAATGTACATTCCCTGTGTAAAACGGTTTTGGTCTAAGCTGAGTCCAAAAAGCTAAAACTGTGGAATAGGACACATCAGGCAAAAGGGGATTGGGGGCAAGAGAGGAGAAATAAATTCCTTTTACAACTGCATCATCAAGTGATAAAAAATGGGTTAGATTCTCCCTTAAATTACATGCGTACAACCTCATTGACTTCAATAAAAGTGCATAGATGCACATGAGGATAGAACTGGTCCTGTATCTTTAATAGCTAGTTAAAGAAATCCCTTTCTTTGAAGTTGCAAAAGTGGGTCTCAGAGTAAAGAAGCAACAGACACTCCTGTCTCCTTCATTAGAGGAAAAAAGGCTGTTATAATGTCTAACCCAGCCTCCTGAAAAAGCTCTTAGAATACACTACTTGATATAACCCTCCCCCAGTAGCTTTTATCCTCTCAATGAGAAATTATCCCCAGGTGGAACCTCATTTTTTTCATTGTAGAAGAGCAAGGTGCCTGTTTAGGGGGAGGAGATAACCCTTTCACTTTCCCCATTGAGCTGAGTCTGAACGCCTCATCATGCTACCAATTTATCATATCAGTGGCAGGATTCACCAGACTTGAATTCAATGGGGAACTTAAAAATATCTGCAACTATATGTGCAATTTTGGGGAGGGAACAGC